TATATATTAAAAAAACTCAGAAGGTGATGTTTGTGAGACTCAAGTCCTTTCCTGCCTGCCCGCAGCACACGCAGCCTGCATCGCGGCGGCCGTGCCGAGGCAGTGATCCTGCCCGCCTCCGCACGCTGTGGAGACCTGTGCCCTGGGAAGGGGAAGAGGCCAGGCTCATTGCAAGTCTTCCCCTGAACCACTGTAAAATGATTGATGATTTTAACTGACACCTAGCCTGAGAAAAGAAACATACATATAAAATATTTTTTACATACTTCTACAGTTTTGTAGAAAATTTGAACTTTTCCAACTTTGTCCTTTTAAGTAAAAAACACAAATATGCTCTTTTTTTTTTTTTTTTTTTTTTTGCGGAACCGGGGATTGAACTCAGATCCATGCATTTGCCAGTCAAGCGCTTATCCTACTGAGCCATCTCCCCAGCCAAAAACCATAAATATAGTATTATTAAGATTGTCCTTCTCTCCCTAAATGTGAAACTAAGGGAGAAGGGCAGCACAAGTGGTGTGCTGGGGGAGTGAAAATGAGCGGACATTTTAAGTGTATATACAAGTCTGCCAAAATGGAAGTCAGCAATCTGTCTAACCAATAAGAAAAGAGAAAGCAGGAACAAGGTTACGAAAAGGGACAGTTTCTATTAAATCACTCTAAATGCTGCCACATACACATTTTATAATTTAGCAAGGTTCTGACCATTAGCAAATTTCTTAGAAAACAGAAAAAAAGTATCAAGTCTAAGCTCACAACAGTTGAATAATTTAGGACAAAACTCTGGCTCTTGGTTTTCTGTTCTTCATTCCTGCTTGCAGAGTGAGGGTTTGCTCTGTCAAAGCCCGAGAGGCACCCTGACTGTGACATACTTCCTTCAGAAAGACCCAGGGACACGGGCTCTGCTGCTCTGAGTGGGCAAAGATTGGGGGATCTCTGGTACTGCTGCAGGCAGAAGACATCTTACAACTTATCAAGCAGCATGCCCCCAACAAGTCTTTTTGACACAATGAGCTGTTATTACCTATGACTCAGAAGGGGAAGACCTGAGCAGTGAGGGAAGACAGGATGGAGGAGCATCGCAGAGCAAAACATGCAGGCTGACTGGAAGACTCATTGGTGGGCAAAGACCTACCCAAGCCAGTTCTAGGATGTTGCGCTGAAATTTCAAATGGATAGTGTTGTGTGGTGCCAGAGGGTATACCGTGTGTCCGCCAGGAGTGTGACCAAATTGGATTATGAGGGGAAGCTCAGCTGACTTAGTTTCCCACGGGCTGTTTTCATTACAGGACTAATAGTGCTAAACTCCTGACATGTAGGATGACCATATAGAGGATCTGTGACAAATTCACAGTTTTGGTCCTGTCTGATCCAGCCAAAATCATACTATTAAGAATTAAGATTAGGATTTGCACCACAGATATGTCTTGACAAAAAATTTGGGAGAATTCAATATGTGCTACTCATTGCAACTTTTAAAAATGACTAAAAATTAATTAAAAAGCCATAATTAGTCAAGATCATCTCCTTTTGGTGGTCCCAAGCATATTTTATTTTCTGTTTGTTACCCATGCTGCACTTCCCCACATTTAACATTGCATATTCACACATGTATAAAGTCATGCAGATGAGTTATTTTACCTTTGCCTGCACCTACATCAGGTAGAAGAATACCAGCTTTGATGAAGGGAAACAGAAATAGGACACTATATAGTTAGATGTAACACATCCATGAGCATGTACAGTGATACAAGAAACACTTATTAAAATGCAAAGGCATGCAAGGAAAATGAGTGTACCATATTAGGTACAGGGGACAAAAATATGTCAGTGTCCCCAGACTTCTCCAATATGTAAATCTACGCGTTATTTAAGGTGCTTTATTCATTACCTAGTATATAGGAAGGCCTAAGGATTTTTTGAACCAAATTTTACATAGAAATGTCAATTTCTTATGCTATGGCTCCTTAAACAATTTATAGTTTAGAGACATGCAAAACCAGAAAATCTCTCAAAATATTTTTGATCATTTTCACTGAATCTCAAATTTTTAGGATGCTTTTTAAAAAAAATTTTTTTTTCTGTATTTAAGACAGGGTCTGCAGGGTCTCATTATGTAGATCCGACTCATAGTGATTCTCCTGTTTACAGCCTCCCAAGTGCTGGGACTTCAGGTGTGCACCACCACACCCAGTCTCAAACTCAGTGTGGGGTCATCTCAGTGTGCCCCATGGGCGGGGCTGGCACAGCATGCTGTGGATCGAGCCCCAGCCACTGCACTCTGCCTAACAGGTACTTTAGTCTGCTGAGCTATCTGGTTAGCCCTTAGGATGCTGTGCTTTTTAAAAGTACGAATACTTAATGGGGTTATTTTGGTTTCTCAGTAACAGATAACATGCCAAAGTACAAAGCTCATTATTCTAACAAAAATAAATGTACTCTTTAAGGACTATTTTGATTTTTTTACTAGAAAACATTAAACAGTACATGGATTAGCAATGATATTTGATGAATTAGGGCCAGAAGCAAAATCACGTAATTATATATTTCTATGTGTTCATACATATATGCATTATATGTGAACAAGTATGTTTATGTATGTATAAGGTTATTCACAGAAAAAATATTGCCTTGAACTTTGAATTCAAGTGTGGTAAATATTACAATTTTTCACCTTTACTCTAATATTTTAGTATAAGTTTTAAAATCTCACATGGAATTACAAAAATATCAGAAAGTCATTCCAATATAAACTAAATAACTGATTCTACTATTATAAAGAAGAAGATATATATAGAATGAGGAATTGCAAATAAGTATTTGTTTAGGTAAGATGAACACTCCATGGTAAGAAGGAAAGAGAAAATACAGTAAAGATTTTTATTTCAGGATACTTATAATTATATGGATTTCGTACATACCCATCTTACCTTCATCCACAGTTGTTATTGCTTCCTCAGTAATTTGACTTCCAGGTCCTACGGATGTTTGGGCATAGAAATAAAACTTATACCGAGTGCTGAAATTTAAATTTTTTACAGTCCAGTGTGTCTTGTTGGCAGGAATTTTTAAATCTATCAGAGGGCCTAATTCATGAGTGCTGTTTACTGTGAATAAGAAATAACAAGTGCATTCTTCATTAATTACAAGAATACAGTAAATATTTGTGTCAACCAAAAACTGACACAAGTGACTTACAATCCTGCTCACTGTTCACTTAATGTAATTTATAACCACATACAGTTCCTATACTGCTTGAATATACAATGCAATATCACACAGCCAGGGGGAACATGTTCTCCATTTGTTTATAAACCAGGGGAATTTTGTGCTTGAACCACAATAGTACTTTTTTCTCTGTTTTCGCAGGTGGAGTCATATACTGTGTTGTTAAATAATTTCAAACATTTCCTTTCATAGTTTTGTGTCAAAAGAACCCACCCATCTTAGCACTTTCTATTTATACATAATGCCCATCTAACTTAATGAAAGGGCCCGCCTAAATCCCAGACCTTCAAAAGTCTGTTCTGTTATACACAGCACTTAATTTTCAGTAGCACATATATTGTTTTTCTTTTCTTTCTTTCTTTCTTTCTTTCTTTCTTTCTTTCTTTCTTTCTTTTTTTTTTTTTTCTTTTTTGGTGGAACCGGGGATTGAACTCAGGCCCTTGTGCTTGCCAGGGAAGCACTTACTCTACTGAGCCATCTCCCCAGCCCCCCTATTGTTTTTCTTTTAAAAAATTTTAAGATCCTTTTGGAATAACATTTGAAGGCATATGAATACATTCTACAGACACAAAGAAGGAACAAGCTTGTGTGTTTTAGCTAACAGTAGTGTTATTTTTTGAACTCTGTATCTCTCTTTCCTTTCTGCCAGTGACTTACTTGGCTGATATTTTAGGGTGTACTCTGTCAAAATGCCGTTTGGGTGGCTCGGGGGATCCCATTCCAGAGTGAGAGAGTCCAGTGTGGGATTCACAATCTTCAAAGAGGAGGGAGCACTGGGGACTTCAATGAGAACATGTAGTTAATCCACAAGTTTCTAAGATATTAAAAATATAGTAAAATGACATATATTGCCTAGTTCATACAATTGATCAAGATTTTGGTTTTCAGCAACTTGCTCTTGACTCCACTGAAAATACATGAATACAAAACTGTGACAGGAACTGGTTTATTCTTGTCTTCTGTCATCATTTCCATTTAAATTCATTAAAAATTGTCCTTTCAAAATACATAATGACTGCCTTTATTTGCACCCAAATTACACACATTTACAGGAGACAATACTTGATTTACAAATAGTGTCTTAGTAGAAGCCAGCTGAGTGCTAAGTGAAACTGCTCTAACCAGACCTTAGAGTGGAAGCAGCTGTGTTCTGGGCCATCAAGCAGATTTCTCCAACAAACCAGGTGTGTGAAAACAGAGAGGACACCCTGCCTGCTGGGCGTTGGGCTCTGGCCAGTTGCCCAGGTGCAGAACCATTTATATCCCAAGAGCTGACAGCTGCCCAGGATCTGGGAGTAAAAGACAAGGGCACAGTGCTGGCAAATGTGAGGCTCTGGAGAGAGCCTCAGGGCGTTAGGTTTTCTGTGGCATGTTGGCGAATTTACCAGAGGCAAGCCTGGTTTTTTATTCACTTCCTCATGAGGGTAACAACCATGGGCAGCTCTTTCTCAGTCACTGCCTACCCTACCATATTCCATGGAAACTCATTAGGAGACCACTGTCCTTTTTCATTCTGGGTAGAAACCAAGAGGTCAACTTGGACTTTCTCTCCATCTCCCTGGCCCCCTCCCTCTGCTCTTTCCATTGTCTCCTGGGATAGTAAATCCTGACAACTCCACCTTCTTAATCCTAAAGGTATCCATTCCTCTGCCTCTCCCTTGCCACTTTGTCTCCTTTGCCTGAACCTGTAATACTTTTGTGTATTCAGACAACCACTTCCTCTCTTCTTTATACTTTAACCCTCTGAGCTGTCCACAAGACCAGTGTGGCCTCACTGATGGAAGCCTATAGTTGAAGGAACCCAACCCTCCAGGCATAAGACTGAGGTCTGGAGCTGGGACACAAGGCTGTTGAGCCACTGCCAACGTCATGAGCCAGCCCATCCTTAATCAGGGGCTAGGACACGCTGTGTTTATGAACTGCTTTCATAAAAAAAGACCCAAGAATTCCACAGAAATGATCTGCCCCATCATCCAGGCTGGATGATGCAAAGTTCAAAATCACGAAAGATAATTTTAGAGCCTTTTACAAATTTCTGTCCTGTTTTCTTTCTAATGTGGAATAAGATGCTATTTAATTTTGTTCCTCCATAGCTAATATTTTTTATGTATATGCTTTAATGATTTTTTTCTTTACAATAAGTTTTGGACAATTTCACTTTTGTGCATCTTGGTATGATTTTATTTAAATTTCTTGTGCAAAAAGGTTCATTTTTCTTGGAAATGCGGTATTATAAGTTGAACTAAATTCAGAAATTTTAAATTTTTAAATATTTATTGCCTACTCTTTTTTACTTTGTGATATAAGTTTCTTGGTTTTGACACAGTGAACTATTATGACTGATCTGTAAATTCTTTCTTCATTTTTATTTTGGACAATTTTTATTGTTATATTCATTTATGTTTGTAAAAATTTATTTTCAATTTGCAATCTATTAAAAAATTAAAATAAAAAAAGAGGAAAAAAATAAAATAAAAATCTCTGTCCTTACCTTATGGTCCCCATTCTCTCACCCATAAGGTTCCTGTGTCTGTTTTACCCAAACTTTTCCACCAGGCTACTGCTGCGTCTTCCCTGCTACCTTCTGTAGCGGCCCTATTGTGCTATAATCACTTTTTTCTTCCCAATCCATTTGGTCAAGGCTGCCAACATTTTAACTCAGCTCAGCACCATAAAAAATCATGAAAGCACACGGGGAAAGAAGTTACAGGGGTCAGCTACCACTTAGAGATATTTTGGTTCCAGGTCTTACATGTTGCAGTTAGGTCTTACACTTTTCAGGTGAGGCCTCTGAGGCATATAGCAGCTACAGAATGAGCGTGCCTTGGGTTAGAAAACTAAAGACTTGAACAAAAAGTTCAGCAGTGGGGACATTTTTTTTTAAGAGCAAGGAAAGGGTGTTTCAGGGCAGCATGTTGGGTTCTCCAGCCTCCAATGTACACTTATGCTACTACATATGAATGACATTTTCCCAGCTTTGTGTATGTTATGTTCCTCTATGGGAAGCTCACACTGGTCTCCCAGAATATACTTCACTGGGAAGGCCCTCCTGTCACGCAGATGCTCCCAGGTCAGGCCATGTGCTCTCGGCTCTCAGAGCCACATCCACTCAGTACCTCCTTCGGGAGTGCTGAAGGCTCTGTCGGGGCTGGCCGGGCCCTCCCCTTTCCCATTGACCACACGGACGTTCAGTGTGTAGTGGCTGAAGGGTTCCAGCCCGGGAAGCATGCCGTGGGTCTTGCTGCCCTGGAAGGTGAGGATCTTCTTCTCAATGTGCCGTCTGTTTCTTTGGGAAGAACTCTGTGCCTTCCAGTAGTAAATCTGGAACAGCAAGAACCGAAGTCAGGGATGCACAAAGGAACACAAAAGATTTCTCAGGTTCACAAATTAAAACGGTCATTTTAAAAAAATAAATAAAATGGTCATTTTCCCAGAAAATTCCCTTGGTGCAATTTAAAAGAAAGCTTGTTGCCAAGGGGTGAATACGGATTCTGAGTAAGAGGATTAGAACCTCACAGATAATGAGGAAGATGACCTGACAAAGCTAGACAACACTACCCTGTTAAAGAAGTGTAAGTAAAATAAATAAGAACCCATATGGTTCTCTCAGAACACAAGGCAAATGGATGACAGCAAAAAGGACTGAAGTCTTGGACATGTGTAAAAGATTCTAAAAACAAAACTATTGCCCAATGTTTAATACATGTTCATGTATAGTACATTATTTAGCTAATTTTAAACACTATAGTGAGGCTTTTCTTCTTATCCCTATGGTAGAAGTGAGCCTCTGGGATTCTCAGCAGCTTTTCTGAAGCTACAGGGGAGCTCCTACTGCATTGCAGGGCTGTTCCACTAAGCCAGTCCATGTCACTTAATTATACATACTTACTTTTTTGTATTAGGCACAGGCTTTAGAGAGATGGAAAAACAAAGTGTTGGTTCACTTTGGTAACAGATCCAGAATTACTGCTTATTCAATTCTCACAAATTCTTAAGAATCTAGAGGTATTTTTCAAGAGAAGCCACCCGTATAGAGAAGCGGCCACTGTTGGGGACCAGTGATGCAGTACTAATGGTGAACCTAGAGAGGTCAGTTAGGAAATTAAGGTAGTGGGTTTGTGCACGTGAGGTGTGGTTCTCTGGCTGCTTGTCAACTGAAGATCTCCAAGAATCAATCTTTCTGTGCTTACCAAAAGCAAAGATAATTGATGTTCACAAAAATGATGCAGTTGGGAATACATGAATATAATCTGTATTATTTATTTATTTTAATGTATTTAGCACAGGGTCTACAGGGTCTCACTACACAGACAGGACTCACAGTGATCCTCCTGTTTTCAGCTTCACAAGTGCTGGGATTACAGATGCACCCCACCATGCCTAGTCTCAATCACAGGCTCAGTGTGCCCCGGGGGTGGGGTTGGCACGGCACACTGAGGACCAAACCCTGAGCCTAGGTCCCTGCATCTGCCTGAGGAGGTACTTTAATCTGCTATCTGACCAGCCCTGTATTATTTTTTAAATGTCCATATTATTATCGGGATAGTTTTGTATGTTCAGCACATGTGGTCCCTATTACTTTAAAGCTAAGCATAATTTGTTATATTTTAGTTCTTTAAAAATTAGTTTTCTTGGGCCCAGGAGATGGCTCAGTGGAATAAGCACTTGCCTGGCAAGCGCAAGGGCCTGAGTTCAATCCCTGGTTCCACAAAAAAAAAAAAAAAAAAAAAAAAAAATTAGTTTTCTTGGGCCAGGAGTAGTTCAGCAGCATAAGTGCCTGCCTGGCAGGCACAAGGTCCCCAAGTTCAATCCCCAGTACCACAAAAATAAATAAATAAATATTAATTTTCCTTATTTTTTACACATACTCCTCAGTTCACAGAATTTTAGATGATCTGTGGAATAAATGGGGAAAACTTTTTTTTCTCTTTTTTCATAATTTTATTGATAAACAAATAGCAATGAGACAGTTTCAAATCAAATCACTAGGACAGTTTCAATAATTAACACACTGCAAACATTCTTCTTAGTGGTTAATTGCTGTACAAGATGCGGACTTGAGATCCTATTTACAACAAATCATTCTATTCATTAAGAGAATGTAACTATATATCTATCCTAACCACTTTGAATACACAGATACAAAATGGACATTCATTTGTATAATCTTTTTTTGCTAAGTTTGTTTTTCATTTTGGATGAGTAAAATTTCAAGTTACCTCTAGCCATGGTCCCTTAGATGTCATCCTGCCTGAGGCAAGAAACAAATGAACTCGATATCAAGAGTTCATCAAGAGAAGCAATAATCATTCCAATCTCATCTAGGGTGTGTGGATGTGTGGCATTTGCTAATGCCCTGTTACTAAGGAAAGAATGTGGTGTGACACCCTTTACTTACCCGGTAGCCTTGCAGGTGACCTCGGATACTTTTCAGAGGCACCGGGTCCCAGTGCACCTCAGCCAAGGTACTGTTCACCACACTCACACGCACATTCCCGGGAGCCACCATAGGGACTGCAGAAAGGAGAGGGAAGCAGAGAAAAGAATCAATGGTACTTTAAATTTCATTCAAACATATCGCTATCCATAGTAATTTTTACTTGAAGCATGTCCCTGCATTCCATTCTATAGATTTTTATTCTATAGATTATTAAATGTCCATGTTATTATCGGGATAGACGCTGTAGAGCTCTCTCTCTCTGTCTCTCTCTCTCTCTCTCTCTCTCTCTCTCTCTCTCTCTCTGTTAACTGTCCCTTTAACTTTATGAGAACACAACTCTTTAAAAAAAACTAATCTCTTTAATATTCAGAACATCTATTCCTTACTTTTTTTGAGGTGCTGGGATTGAAACTAGGACATATACATCCAGGCCAATACTTTATCACTTAGCTACACTCCATCCCTGAATCCTCTCTGTTTCTTGCATGGCATGCTATTTAAAGTCAGATAAATTTACAAAAATAGTTGCTGTTTTCATCCCTTGCAAACTTAAGCACATCTGGAAACAGCCTTGGTTTGCACCCTGGTGGGTTGTCCTGGAGAAAAGGAGAGAGGAAATGACACAAGACACTTACGGTCTTCTCCAGAATGTCCCATCACTACAGCAGGCTCTGGAGCAAACCCCACAACATTCAGGGCCTGAACTTTTATCAGGTAGGGGACAAAGGTTGGTGTGCCGGACACAATATATTTGGATACATTTGCCACAACCACAGATGTCCATTCATCATCTCCATCTTTCTGGCGCCAGCTCACTTTGTACTGGAGATCTGGCCCATTTGATTCGAAACCATTCAAGGGCTAAAGAAAAGCCAAATATCCCAAGGTTATAAAGCACATTGACTATACATCCTTTTACAGAAACAGTAAATCCAATTCCCAGGCCAAAAGAAAGTGAGCCCTGAAACCCTAAAATACATGCTAGCAACCATTTTCTCCAGGGACTTCTTATCTTTTCTCATTTATGATAAGATTCAAAGCTTTTTAGGGATTTACATTTCAAAGGTTGTAAATTACTGCCTTAAAGCAGTGGTTTGAAAGGTTTACCACACAAACCTTTCAAAGTCTGTCTGTGTAGGTAAGGGTGGGTGAGTCTGAGAACATTCTCATTATTTAGATTCTTTTATGCATTCTTGTTTGTGTGATAGTACATCTTGTCCATTTTACTTGGAGACTGAAATTTATGAACTATTTCTTTCCTTATTAAAAAAGTTGGGCTGTTATTCTAACTTCATTGTGCGTGTGTGTCTATGTGTGTGTGTGTATTATAACTACACATACAAATGTGTGCATATAAGTAAGCATGTTGGCTTTAAGATAGATTGGCATTATTGTAGATGCTCTATATGCATTAATCCCTCTCATTGTATGAAGCTGGTTCTATTATTGTTCTCTTCAAGGAGATGCTCAACAAATACTCAACCATTGGCAATCACACTGTAAGTAGCAGAGGTGGGATTTGTATTTATTCTTTTTGGCTCCAGAGATCAAACTTACTACCTACTACCCAATACTCCCTCTTAGATAAAGGTATTTCTTACAGAAATGGGATTTTAATGCAGATATTGTTTTAAAACAACTTTTTCCTAACTCTTAAAAAATAACAGAGTAAAGCTGAAGAGTAGAGCTCACCTTCCAAGTAATCACCAAATTATCAGGTTCTGATCCCAATCCTTCCACAGCTGTGGGATTTTTATCTGGTTCTGGAAGTTAAACAACCACATATGTATAAGCTTTGCTCCTTGACAAAGAATAGAAAACCTTTCCACTTTGCTTCCTATTCCTAGAGTCCTGCTTTACCTGCGGCTTTGGTCTGGTACTGTTCAGAGGCCTCACTGGGCAGGCTCCTCCCAATGCTGTTCTCGGCCATCACCCGGAAGGAGTAGTTCACGTATGGAGACAGCTTCAGCTGGGCTGTGGTCTGTGTTCCAGAAACCTCAGCCTGGTGGTGCCATAGCCCTGCCTCATGCATGGCATCTTCATATTCAATGATGAATTCTGGCCACAATACACAGAACAAACCCAAGACAGCCAATATAGTCAACCAGGGGTAGACTGCTGGTGAGTGATGATTAACAGGATAATCAAGAGCTGCCAAAGACTAATTAGTTTACTTTGAATAAAAATCCCATGAGAGAAGGAAAGGAGAGCAGAGTTGGTGGGAAGAACCCCAGATAGCACAACAGTTCTGAATAGTCTCCTCAGGTCAAGGACGAGCCCCAGGGAAAAGTCTGCCTTTGCTAAGAACACTGCAGTAGGGATGGCTCACTGAAGGCCCCTCGCTGGGTCCAGTTATTAGAATAACCAGGGGGCATGTGGCCTCCTGCACGTACTGCTGGTTCCTCCTAAGGGAAGGTTGTCATTTAATACTCTTTGCCATAGGCTCTCCCTTAATGGTAGACTGATTAATATCTTTGTGTGTGTGTGTGTGTGTGTGTGTGTGTGTGTGTGTGTGTACATATGTATTTGTATAGACAATGTATGAAAGTATGCACAATAACATCATAATACTAATTTTATATCTTTGTCCTGATCTAAAATACAGATTCTATAAAAGCAGAGACTTTTTTATTCTTTTATTTCAGAACAATGTGTAGCATATAATTGGAATCAATAAATATCTGTTCAGTGAATGAGTGAATGAATGAAGGAGGAGAAATGCCTTGAAACCTAATACCATCATGTATGCCACAAGAGTCTCCAAGCATTCTGACCAGGCAGCTCAAGCACATGTGCTCGATTAGCAGGAAGATTCAGCTGTCCTGAGGCAGGATCAGGTAAGAAAGCTCCACCTCTTAAGTCAGAAGTAGGGAAGCATTTGGTTGATTTTATTGGGAATATTTTGCTTCTCTTGGAAGTGCAAACCAGAACACCCATCATTTGGAAATCCTTTTAAGCTTTCACCAGAAGGACAATCTTCCTACAGTCAATACTTCAAGGAAATAATGAATTTCAGGGTTGTGATTGTGCCTGCTCTTTTAGCCAGCTCTTTAATTTTACAATTAAACCTTTGTGTTTACCTTTATTCTAACTTATTAAGCTTTACTAGGGCCCTAATAACCTGGTCTCTAATTTCATTTTATTCTTTAGGACCTAATGTTTATACCCACTTCTGTTACCAAGTTTCAGTTTCTATAGTGGGAACTTTCAGCATTGTTTCTCCTATCCTTTTTTCTCCCAGAAGTAATGAGCAAAATAAATAACTCAAGATACAACTCCCTGTGGCTGTAGAGATAGCTTGACAGTCTAAGCACCTGCTTGGCAAGAGCAAGGACTGAGGTTTGATCACCAGTACCACATGCCCTGCCAGCCACTGGGTATGGGTATGCTGTGCCAGCCACTGAAATTGGGTGTGGTGGTGCACCCCTATAATTTCAGTTCTGGGGAGGCTGAGATAGGAGGATCACTATGAATACAAGTTGCATAGCAAGACCCTGTACCAAACAAACAAACAAACAAAAAGACACATCTCCCTACTTCTTGTAAATAACAATCATTTATTTGCTGAATTAATAACTTTAACCATCAACTAGTGTCTTGTTATAGAAGCTGTAGTCAGAAATCACCATCTCTGAAGACAGACATAAATATTTTTGTTCTACCAGTAATGAAACAGAGACTGATAGTAAATATATTTGCGAGGAGTCAAGGTTACATATTTTAAAATGCTTGAAAAATGGTCTCGGTTTATCAGTAATAAAGCAAATAACACCACATACTTGTAATAGGGCTGTTATTGTCATCTCCTGGGGTCCATGAGAGCTGAACACTCTTTTCCAGTTGATTGGTTAATTCTAAATCAAAAGGAGGATTGGGGACATCTGTAGATCAAGCACAAACATAGTTAATTATCCATTCATAAGAGGTTCATCTTTATGATATTTTCACAGAAGGTACATTTTAAAAACATAGCACACTTAAGGGTCAATGAGCATGCAACAGAAATGAAACGGAAACCAGTGAGGTTGCTGGGAACACACGAGTACACGCAGATAACCCATCAAGGAGTTCTGCTTGCTTTTCAAGAGCAACAAAATCATTTGCAATCAAAACCAGTGAGGCAGACCTGTGTGGTTCATCAGCACTCTCATCATGTCTTAAAACATGGACAATCACAAACATAAAGATAAACCAAAGTCTGATTTCTAATCCATGGGAAACAGAATAGAAAAGGCTGGAAAACAAATACAGGTAAATCAAATGCACTGTTTCAAGAAGATTCAAAAATCCTTTTTGAAACATGCTGAATGATAGATTGTGGGACTCCTGAAGGAAAACGCATATAATATTTAAAATATTATATATGTATATGAGTATATACATATGTGTGTGTGTGTGTGTGTGTGTGTGTGTGTGTGTAGGTAAACCTCAGCATGCGTAGGTGTGTTTACTCTTAGACACCTTTTGGGACACAGGTAACCAGAAGCAGAGCTGCTTCATCAAGAGCTGATTCTGATATGTAGAGTTAACACTCTCCCCTGGGCCTTGGTTTTGGCCTTGCTTCTGAAGTATCTCTGGCTCTTGAGGGACTAGAGGCCAAATAAATACATGAGACCTTCTTTCTCATCAATAATGAAGTAGTTAATGTCTACAAAGGACAGGTTTTCTACATAATAATTACTGATACTATATAACATGTAACTGAGATTATGCCACAAAAGTAGTTATTGTATTTATGTGCTAAATAATACATGTGATGTTTCTAAACAAAAGCTTGTTGGAAATAATTAGTGATTTATTTTCCAGTCACAGAAAAGTCACACCACATTGATGTAACCCTCCTTTTGGTCTTTCTACAAGAGACTTCACTTTTGATAACACACAGGGAGTGAGTTTTTTCTGACATAAACATTACATGTTGTTTTAAACATCAATTTTTTCCTTCCTCATTATGTAAATTTCTTGAAAACAGAGTCCCCCAAAAACATTTTTTAAAACAAATTTTAGTAGAAATAAAATCTAATTAGTGAAATAATCCAAGACATCAATTTTTCATTCTATAATATATCAATGTTGACTTTTGATAAAACACTTTGATACAAGGAGATTGTATCAAAGAGGGACTTTTATCAAATGGGATGACTTAATAATAGCAGATGAAATATTCAGAAACAGCCAGCAATAAACTCAGTAGAAAATTCTAAAGTTACAATGAAGAAATGATTTAGTGCAGTAAATGAGGGATACAACATAACAACTGACAGTATTTTTTCTTAAAGAAATACAATAATCTGATAGAGAAAAGAAAGTAATGTGAAACTGCTTGACAGAAAATAGAGAAAGAAGGCTCATATTAGTTTACCGTAAGTGGGAGCTGGAGTTGGAGTAGGAGCTAGAAAGGACATTAATATAGAGGATTTTAATCAAAATTAGTAAGGGGAAGACACAAGATAGCATAAAAAGACAAAGACTGTACATGATTAAGGTTATAAAATTAAGTCCTGTATTTAGCTCTGATGTATTACTAATAAGCAAGCAATAGCAACTTTGGAATTTTTAAAAACCTTTAATTTCAAATAAAAAGATTATTTTCCCCAATTTTCTTATATAAAAACATTTCTAGTGTACATATATGCCATTTTATCTTAGCCTGACACACAGCATAAGTACACTAAAATTATCGACTCAAAGGCATTTTTTAAAGAAAGTATCTATGTTATAGTTAGGAAACTACAACCAGCAAACATTTAATATTTATTTTGTCTCCTTTCCAGTCTAACACAGGCAAGTTGGATGTGTCATATTTGTTCTTGTTCTTACCAACAACACTGAGTACGGCGCTGGCAGACACAGCATCCAGAGTCGTGTTGGCCACACATGTGTAGGTTCCCCCATCACTGTCTGTCGCATCAGTCACCACCAAGTGGTCCTTGTTGACAGTGAACCTGTGAACAGAACCAGTTCAGAGCAGCCAAAGTGGACATCATGAAAGAAACTGAGCTGATGAAAGAAAAGGACAATATACAGTTCGGCAAAGAGGGATGAAAATCCTGTATAATGCATACACACATATTTAACTTTCATAATAATTCGAGTCATAAAACAATGAGAATGAATGAGACTTGTAGGGTAGGAAGGATATTGAGTATAGTGGTTTTCAACCAGACCACGGAGTCAGAAAAGCTTTCTTAAAGTGACCAAACAAAATATTCTATGATGCTTCATAAATATGCACAATTACTGTGTGTCAATTAAAAAATAAAATAACTTTGTAATAAAAGTCCTTAGGAACATCCTGAGGTGAGATGAGGGCAGCTCTACAGTTACCCTTACTATCTGCTTTGCCACTTTACTACTCATTCAGCTCAGTTTCTATCAAAGTGTGTATTTTTAAATTCTTTTTTGGTACTGGAAATTGAACTCAGGACCTTGCACTTGCCAGGCAGGTACTGTATCACTGAGCTATATCTACAGCCCAGGAAATTATTATTTACTACAGAAAATTTCATTTCAGTTTTTGTCAGTGTGAAGTCTCACAGGAGAAAGTGAATGTAAACAATAGTAACCTGTTTTATCACTAGGAACAGGAAGATTCAGATCAGCAGTTTCCACTGAGAATTTTTCAGGGATTATCTGCAGACATGAAAAATTACTCAGCGGCTCAAAAGACAATGCATGCAGCACCCATGTATAATGTTCATGAAGGCGCATGAATCATAAGCTGTCATCCCAGGTAATTTCTAAGTTACAGCTCAGCTGACTTAACCTGAAAGTCATTTCTTCATACTTCTTTCTCTTCTTTCTCAAATCAGATTTTGCAAATAAGTGGAGACACAGGCCAGGATGCAACTATGGGCACAGAGAGGGGAAGACCACAGAGTATTTGGGGACCATGAACAAATGACCGGGAATCATTAGTCACCACAGATTTAGGTAAGCTGCCAGCAAACCACAGAAACCATTTCTACCAAAATACAAAAAAAAAAAAAAAAAAAAAAAAAAAAAAAAAAGACTATGAGGG